CGGGGCGGCGCCCAGCGGGGGGCAGCGGGTCACGCTGGCCGCACGTGTGCCCAGGCGCCGTGCAGATGCTGTCCACCACGGCCATCGGCTGCGTGAAGATCTTCGTCCCCTGCTGCCTGTACCAGCACAAGCTCCGGCCCTCCTACCCGCCCAACTTCGTCTCCACCATGCTGTTCGTGGGGCTCATGAGGTCGGAGCTGCACCCCGGAGCTGGCGGGCTCGGGGCTCCCCGTGGGAGGGCGCCGCCGGCCTCCAGGGCCGCGAGTCCCTCCTGGGCCCCGACCGAGGCTCCTGCCCACAGGTTCGCCACCGTGGTCCTGGGCCTGGTCAGCCTGAAGAACGTGGCCGTGTCCTTCGCGGAGACCGTGAAGAGCTCCGCCCCCCTCTTCACGGTGATCATGTCCCGGATGATCCTGGGGGAGTACACAGGTGGGCTCGGGCCTCGGTCACCTGCGGGGTTCGGGACACGGGCCGGGCCTGTCCGCCACCTCTGCTGGCCGTGCGCCGGGCAGGAAGGGCGGCTCTGACTTCTCGCCAGCGGGCAGGTCGGTGCCGCTGCGCTTTCCCGGCTCGGCCTCGTTGCTCGCTCGGTGAGGCTCCGGGGAGGGCGCCTCTGGTCAGCAGGTGGCACGCTGCCCTTACTGCTGTGCTCTGGGACTGTGGGCACAGCTGCCACCGCCCTGCACCCTCAGGGCCAGCGCGGTGGGGGGTGGGCTGGCCGCCTCACCTGCTGCCCGTGCGGGGGCGCCCCAGGGCGCCTCCTTCACCGCCACCTTGGTCTCACTGGGCCAGCCCAGGCCCCCTCCCCTCCCCCACCGCCTGTCCCTGTGGACGTGGGCCCTGGTGTCCATCTACATCCTTGCTCCCCGAGAGCACTGGAGGCTCCCCTCAGCCCGCCCACCCCCACGCACCCCCTTCTCTCTGGCCCACTGATGCCCCAGCTCCGGAGCCTTCCCTCCTGGCACGGCTGCTCCTCTGTGGCAATGGAGCGCGGCCAGTGCCGCCGGAGGCGGGCAGGGAGGAGGCCGCATCGTGTCCGCCCCTGCCGCCCTGCCCTTGTTGGCCGGTGGGTGACCGCCACAGCCTGCAG